GTATGTTGACCATGACCTATCACATGAGGTCAAATGTGGAATTTCCTACTTGTGGTGCCATGTCAGCACTCAAATATTTTAGATTTTGGAGCATTTTAGATTTCAGACTTTTGGATTAGGGATGCCCAATTTGTAATGTTTTGGTACAGGGATACTTGGAGAGCATTTTTATATTTAGTAGTCCCATGCAAAGGAAGCATGGAATTATGCTTTTGTTTTTTATATATATATATAGATATTGGGTCAATTGAGGGACTAAGATGGCTTATCCATCTGTGGTCTGTCTTCTGTGCTAAGACTTCAAGTGGAGAGTACTGGTGTTTTCCTCAAATTTTTATTGGTTGTGGCTGAGTACATACTGACCCGTGACACAGTCCCCTGTCTGAGCATGTAGCACTTAAAATCTGAGTGCTCTGGGCCTCCCACACTGCCGCTCCCCAGGGAAAAGGCTTTGAAGGATTACTTGTGGTTTGTTAAAATGAGTAGATCTCGTACACTCTTAACAATTCTCTTCGTCTCTTAGTTCATTTCCATTAAGATTTTTATTGTAGGTTAGATGAAAAGGAAGTTAATTTATAAATACTGAAGTCAGAAGAATTTTCTAAACATTTTATTGATCTTTTATTTCTTGTAACTTTCATTATAGCACATTAAAAAATCATGGTGTATAAATTGTTTTGAGAACTTTGGTATTACATTTTCATCCCTCGCTGCCCAGTATATATAATTGTTGAATGAACTGGCATCTCAGAAGGCCCATTCTTTGGCCAAATTGTCTTCATTTGTTTGCAGAGGCCTGCTGTGCCATTTCAGCCATTCGAGAGAGCAAATTGGATGTGTGAAAAAGGAAGCAGTAGGGACAGTGCTGAACTGTTTTTGAGGCTGAATTAAACACCATCTAGAGTCTGTGAACTTTGCTAAGTAAAGCAAAGGCTTTGGCCAGAAGACTAATGAATATATAATTTATATGAGTAACAGAAACCCTTAAGGTATTCTAGATGTTTTATGCTCTCCAGATCAGTGAGTGCCATGATTCATAAAGTAAATAAACATAAGCGCACACACCCTTATTCACTCCCTATACCCTGATGAACATTAGTGCCCTAGAGGAAAGTTCGTTTTGATAAAGGTCACTTGTCTAGTGTCTATTTGCTGTATCTTTATTCATTGGGCATTGATGGAGCTTTAGAGGTGCTTATAAATACAGTTTTGTTCTAAATTTATAAGCAATTTGAGTTTTCTAATTCTATTAGTGATAGCATATACAAATGTTGTAATTGGAACAAAAGCAAAAGTTACATATGCCCAAGGAAGCCCTGCGTGCACGTGTTAAATTCTTGTAGCTGGGGAGATTCACCTGGCTCTGCCTCTGATTACTTGTCAGAAATGAGAAGAAACTAGGGAAAAGCAGCAAGAAAAATCACAGATCATTTTAAAGCTGAAATGCTAATATGGTAACTGGTATCCTGTAAGTTAAAAGTATGTTTGCTTCAAGGTGTTTGATAAACTTTACTGAATTTTCTCAGGTGCCTAGCTTTTTTATTCCCTCTGGGGACTCAGATATATTTATATTATAGTGCCTTTGTTCCTGATTGCCTCACTCCTGTTCTGAAGCCTTAGCATAAACCACGTCTGATATCAAGAAAGTCAATTTACCCAAACTTTCCCCTTCTTCCCAGCAGCTGTTGACATTTTCTTCCTTAACACCTGTAGCCTGGGGAACCACCCCTCCTTCCCCTTCCACCCCGTCCTAACCCTTTCTGGTGCACAATGCTCATTTTACACTGTGTACATTACTATTTGCTGTTGACATCTCTGTCTTTTCATTTCATTTCTATTATGACAATGTGGTCTTTTACTCTTTGAGATTAGGGACTGTAACCTCTTTGGCTCACTGTGTTAATCGGTATTTAATAAATGTCTATTGGTAGGATATAAAAATCACTGGAACTTTGAAGCTGAACAAAGGAAGTTTGAATCCATTTATGCATTTGGAAAATGGATAGATTCTTTTTTGCTGACACCTGTAACATCACCAAAATGGCCCAGTTTCAAATTAATAAGACCCTTTAATTAAATGCTGCAAATCCATTTAGTAAATTATTTCTGGGTGAGAGAAAGAAGATATTTGGGAGAAAATCAAGATTAGAAGATTGTGCAAAAAAGTTTGCTATTGTTTATATTGATTTATGTCAGTATATTTTTGCTGCTCAAAATAACTATTTGGAAAACTTTCCTCATCTCTCTTTATCTTTACTGGTTTATATCTATTATCTATGCTTTCTAATTACATATTCCACCCATGTTGTTTTTACATGTTGGTATCTAATATGATATGAGAGTAACTTGTTTGTTTACATGAACTTTGCCTGCTGTTTATTAAGTTATGACTTCGATGCTCATCTGCATGTGTGCCTTTAGGTCTTAAGATCAGATTTCAAAGCTGGGAGTACTTTGTATCTCTAGAAAGGATTTGTAGGATATTTATTAAATCCAGACCTTCTTTAAGGAATTTATTTAAATGGCTGCTAATTATATACATTGATATATATAATAAAAAAGCATATATCTTCTCAAGGTTTATTCTAATCATCTTCAATAAGTTATATATATATATCATTTAATATTTTTTGTATCAGTATTTTGCACAGAAGTCTAAGAACTAAATTTAGGCAACCTTTTCATTTTCAGTTAATATGTAATTTTAATCACTATTAATAAATTAGAAAGCCTTTTTAAAAAAGTTTTCTTGCAATCACTTTACATAGCTGAATGAATATCTCATTCTTACTTAGCATTTAAATGCTTTATTTCCCATCTCTATTTTTTCTCAGTTTGTTTCATTTATCTTTTATATAATAGACCCAAACTGCCCTGTGTTGAAGGAGGAAGCTGCCTGATTTGCAGCCAGTTTAAATGTGATGAAATTTAACCTCAGCTTATGTCTCTCCCCGCACAGTCCCTTCAGTCTGAATATGTTCATTACTAAGGCCTTGCCGCTCGGTGGAAGCTGTTCCTTCTTAGACATCTGGACAAGCCATGCGGAGGAGGGCACCAGCTTGCTGGAAGGATTTCTCTGCCTTCTTACCTTAAATTAGAGAGAGCACTAAGATAACACCTTCAAGAGACTTGAAACCAGACAGCTGGTTAATGACTACTGTAAATGCACTGAAACTATGTTTATGGAGATTTCAACACTTTTTAATGACAGTTTTAATGTTGAATTTGGTATTTTGAAAGTTATTTTTAATGTATTTCAGTAATACATTTGTTATTACATTTACATGTACAGTGTTACATTATGTATGTATTGTGAACTTCAAAAGACTATTTTGATAAATTTATAAATATATGAAATTTATGTAAAAACTAGACTATATTTTGATTTAGATTTTCCTGTTGTTTGCTACCAAAAATTTGTATTTTAAACTTATTTAGTTTTAGTATGGACTTTGTCTTTAATGATTCCTCTTTATTAAGAAAAAGAAAGGGAGAAAGTTTTTAGGAAGTGGTTTTTATGTTCCCACTGTAAATATGACAGATCAGTGTGTTCTTTGGGGATGTCAGTCTAATTTAAAGAGTTCCTCCAAGTTTATTTCTACCAAGAGTAGACTTGTTTGATATGATTTATTTAGGACAAAACCCTTCTCCTTCATTTTTATTTCTTGAACCATTGAAATTAGCTTTGTATCCTTGGAAACTTAAAAAAAAAAAAAAACTTACATCCAGTTGAAGATTTTAGAGTCTCCTGGTTGTTTCTCCTGAAAGCCTGCTTTTTCTCTATGAAATGACTGAACATTCCAATTGCTTTTCTTTTTTTTTTTTTCTCCTCTCAAAAGAGTGCTTAAAAAAAATGCCTTAAACCATTTATTTTGCCTCTGTTTTCTCTTTTGTACATATGCAGAAGAAGGATACATATTTTAAAATCCACATCTAAGGTCTCTGATCGCTCTGCCTCTTATCATACAATGATGATTTTAACGACCGAAAAGCACTTCAAAAGAGTTATTAACTCGATTAGAATATTCTGCTTTTGGTACGAGGTGGTTGTTGCCTTGTAAATCACATGTGGTCTGACACCAGTTTAAATTAATGAGGGAAAACCTGAAAAAGATGCTGCTAAGTAGTTCTTTATATCCGGGAGTTATTTTTTAAACGAACAGAGTACAACTCCCTGACACACACGCAGGTGTATCTGGAACTAAGATGAACATGAAAGGACCCTCTTATGGGTGGGTACTCATAGCCCTTTCATGTGAGTCTAATCTCTTATTTAGGTCTCCAGAATCCTGTTGGCTTCATTTCCAGGGAGCTGGAGGCCCTTACATCTGGTTCTCTTCTGGCTGCTTAAGAATGGACTCATGCCCACCCTGCAAGTGCTGGGTCAGGGGATTCATGTGTAGGGCTTGACTCTGAGCAGTTGAGTTATTTATAATGTATTTATTAGGAAGGGGTACCTTGAGACTATTATTATGTGCTTCAGCAAGACATCTTGTTCATGTTTTATGCTTTTAAAGAGACGTTTGAATGAATGTTTGACTCAGGTTTGTTAACATAACCTTCAATAACTGCAGTACCAAAAAGTTGCGCTCAATTGATGAAAAAAAAAAAAGAATTGTATGTTTTAGGAGTCAAAACTTAAAACAAGTGGAATTCAATGGTATATATTTTTTCTAAAGCTGAAAAAGTATTTTATTAAGAGTTATTATAAAAAAAGATTGATTACTTATATAGGAAGATGATTGTATTTTTTCAAATGATCATTGAAAAGTAATTCAGATGATGTTTGTGAAGTGTAGGGGAAAGGGAACCGTATTGATGTTTTTAGTTCTGTGAACACTAATTTGTGTGCAGCTATTAAAATGATTGTAAAGTTGACTACTGTAAAATTTCCATAATTATGTGTGTACATAAATTATATGTATTTACATGTGTATGTCTTAAAATTATTTGTACACATGTGCTTACATAGATTCACCAAGAAGGGGATGTATATAATATAGAAAGTATATAGCAAAGTAATTCTACTCCAGTAATAAAAATGGTTTGACATGTATTTTGTTATGAATAGTTTATCTTCCAAAATATATTTTGTTCTATTTTAAAGTATAGAAGAATACACTGCTAATAAATAATAAAAGTCTTATGAAATTTGCTTCTTGACTTTTATAACTTGGATTTGGAGTTTTCAATATGCCAAAGTTCATCATTTTATTTTTGACTCAGTGTGGTTGGTTCCTTTTGTGTTTCTCAACATCTTCCTTCTGGATTCTTAGTTTATCTCTTATTGACCCTCTAGGTTGTGGCCATTGCTGGAAATACATGAGTTCAGAGAAACCTTGTGTTTTGAATTTTACAGAAGCCAGATAATGCTAGTTTCTCCCTCCATTCCTCCTACCCCCCAGTTTCCTTTCTGTTAGTAAAATACTGATCACGACCAGTGTTTGAGTCCTGCTAGGTCATTTATGACTATCAGTGACTGTTGGGTGACATAATACTAGTCATCAATTCCTTTTCAGAAAGGCTGACCCTTTTTCTTAATGGAGAAATTCTAGAAATACATCAGATGGAATAAACTTCACATCTGGTGGATGTATGCTGTGAAGTTTCAGCTTGGGAGGAAGAGGCTGCACTATTTATTGGAGATATTTTATGTATTAAACTGGATCTTTTGGGGTTGGGATATTTCTGAGTTTTTTTTTCTTCTTCTTTTCCTTTTCAGAATGCAAAGGAAAGATTAAGGGTGGGAAGGTGGTTTCATTTATGGACTTAGGAATCTGCAAGTAGCTATCCTCCTAACACTGCCTGAGACCATATCTTAGATAAGAGATTTGTGAATCCACAAACCTGTCAAGAAGGGCAGAAAAATCTCTTTTCCTATAAATTGAATTATTGTGGAAAAGAAAATGAAAAAAAAAAAGAACAATTAGTTTTAACAAATTTCTTACTTCTTACCTATTAGTTTACATGGGTTTGTTATTCTTATATGCAAGATGGTTGATAAACCTCCAAACACATCTGGAAAGATTACTCAATATTTAATGCATATTCATCTGTGATTCCCATATAGAAGGAACATGAATTTGTTAACTATTAGGTACACAAATGTATTTTCAAAATTGTTTTCATTTACATGCTTTCTTAGGTGACATGTAAAACCATTATGTTAAGTGTCTCTGTAAACAACTGTTGCTGTATAAACAGAACAGTACTCTATGTAAGAGGTCTATGTTCTTAGAGAGTCATCCAGCAGAGTTAATGATGCCTGCAAAGTCTTTCACTGCTCTTTGCAAGAATTTGGTCACTGTGTATCTTCTAAGAAGATCAATCAGAGATAATTCCAATTATAGCAGGCTATAACTTAAAGCAGAAGATAAAAGTATTTACACATTGGTTGCATAGGGGTGGCAACTATGGCATATGAAAGAAAGTAAAAAAAAAATAATCAAGTTATTTTGAGCTGAATTGAAATGTTAATATATTCCTACCCAGTTCCTCCTCTATGGATTGAATTATGATAATCATATCAAGAAGGAGAACAATAGCTTTTCTAGAGAATTTGAAACTCTTTTTGGTATGTGCCAAGTATAAGCTTATGTTAAAAATGTCTTAAGGCAAAATATATTTGGGGGACCAGGTTTAAATGGACAAACAAAAATTAGCTGGGCTTTTAACTTCTCATGTGCCATTTTAGACCTGCATACCATCAAAATTGAAGTGAATCCCATTACCACTTGATATTTTCTCCTTTC